GTTCTAGTTCAGTTCTAGTTCAGTTCTAGTTCAGTTCTAGTTCAGTTCTAGTTCAGTTCTAGTTCAGTTCTAGTTCAGTTCTAGTTCAGTTCTAGTTCAGTTCTAGTTCAGTTCTAGTTCAGTTCTAGTTCAGTTCTAGTTCAGTTCTAGTTCAGTTCTAGTTCAGTTCTAGTTCAGTTCTAGTTCAGTTCTAGTTCAGTTCTAGTTCAGTTCTAGTTCAGTTCTAGTTCAGTTCTAGTTCAGTTCTAGTTCAGTTCTAGTTCAGTTCTAGTTCAGTTCTAGTTCAGTTCTAGTTCAGTTCTAGTTCAGTTCTAGTTCAGTTCTAGTTCAGTTCTAGTTCAGTTCTAGTTCAGTTCTAGTTCAGTTCTAGTTCAGTTCTAGTTCAGTTCTAGTTCAGTTCTAGTTCAGTTCTAGTTCAGTTCTAGTTCAGTTCTAGTTCAGTTCTAGTTCAGTTCTAGTTCAGTTCTAGTTCAGTTCTAGTTCAGTTCTAGTTCAGTTCTAGTTCAGTTCTAGTTCAGTTCTAGTTCAGTTCTAGTTCAGTTCTAGTTCAGTTCTAGTTCAGTTCTAGTTCAGTTCTAGTTCAGTTCTAGTTCAGTTCTAGTTCAGTTCTAGTTCAGTTCTAGTTCAGTTCTAGTTCAGTTCTAGTTCAGTTCTAGTTCAGTTCAGTTCTAGTGCAGTTCTAGTTCAGTTCTAGTTCAGTTCTAGTTCAGTTCTAGTTCAGTTCTAGTTCAGTTCTAGTTCAGTTCTAGTTCAGTTTAGTTTCTAGTTCAGTTAGTTCAGTTCTAGTTCAGTTTCTAGTTCAGTTCTAGTTCAGTTCTAGTTCAGTTCTAGTTCAGTTCTAGTTCAGTTCTAGTTCAGTTCTAGTTCAGTTCTAGTTCAGTTCTAGGTTCAGTTCTAGTTCAGTTCAGTTCTAGTTCAGTTCAGTTCTAGTTCAGTTCTAGTTCAGTTCTAGTTCAGTTCTAGTTCAGTTCTAGTTCAGTTCTAGTTAAGTTCTAATTAAGTTCTAGTTAAATTCTAGTTAAATTCTAGTTCTAGACCAGACTATTGTCCACTCTATGGACTATAACAAAATCCAATCTGGACATGGATTTCTGTCTAAAACTTTCCTTCTTTTCCTCTTTCTATCTTTTTTCTCTATCTACAGTGGGCCATTCATCCAACTACTGCTGGTAGTGGCTAATTTATATATCGACAATGATCCCAAAGGTATGGCCATGTTTATGGTTCAATTACGCGATGAAGAGACTCACATGCCTTTGCCGGGCATTGATGTGGGAGATATTGGTAAAAAATTGGGTTTCTTTGGTGTTAATAATGGTTACTTGGGTTTGAAAAATGTACGCATACCACGTACAAATATGTTAATGCGTAATGCACAAGTAAATCGTGATGGTAGTTATGTTAAAAATCCGGTATCGGTATTGGCCTATTTTACTATGGTTCTAGTAAGATGTATGATAGCACAAAATAATGCTATATTATTATCGATGGCCGCTACTATTGCCACAAGATATTCAGCGGTGAGAAGACAAAGTCCCATTAATGAAAAGTAAGTGAAGAAATCTACAAATTATTTAGGGTTATTTTATTATTATCTACACATTTCTAGTGAACCCGAACCCCAAATTATAGATCATGTTACCCAACAAATGAAATTATTTCCGGAAATTGCCGCGAGCATAGCATATAAATTAGCTTCTGCGAAATTGTGGTCTTTGTATTATCAAACTTCGGAAGATATAAAACGTGGTGAATATTCTCGTCTGCCTGAAATGCATGCTTTAGCCTGTTCCATGAAAGTATTGTGTTCCAGCGATTCGACTATGGGTATAGAACGTTTACGTTTAGCCTGTGGTGGTCATGGTTATTTGACATCCTCCAATTTGGGTAATTTATATGTAGCTGCTACAGCCGCTTGTACATATGAGGGGGAAAATACTGTGTTACTATTGCAAGTGGGTAGATTTTTAATGAAATCATATCGTCAAGCTTTGGCGGGTAAGCCCTTATCCCCCACTGTGGCTTATCTAAAGGATTCATTAAACAATCGCGACTTTGACAGGTGGACAGGTTCTTGGCAAAATATGGTGCAAGCTTTACAATTCACAGCAGCCAAGTAAGTCTAGTTTCAAATATTAATTACAAACATTATTAAAAAAATATTCATGAATTTTCTAGTAAAACACGTATTGCCTTTGAAAATTTATCACAACGTTTGAAATCGGGTCAGACGGAGGGTGAGGCTGCTAATAATACCGGCATAGAATATACTCAAGCAGCCGAGGTAAATATATAAAATGTTTAAAAAGTAAATTATTTAAAACATGTCTATCTATAGTTGCATGGCCGTTCTTTTGTTATTGCCAGCTTTTTGGAAGAAATCACTGGACCTAATGCCAAATTGCGTAATCCCGCCTTGAACAAAGTTCTGGAAGAACTTTTAGAATTGTATTTGGTTCACACGTCTTTGAGACACATGAATGATATATTGAGAGTAAGCTTTATTCTAACATATTCTCTCTTTTACTATAACTTTTTGTCTCTTTTTAGTTTATAAATATCACCGATGCCGATTTACGCTCTTTACAAGTACGTTTGGAGGACGCCTTAAAAGCTTTAAGACCCAATGCTGTTGCTATTTGTGATGGTTTCGATCATCATGATAATAATTTAAGATCCACCTTGGGCTCGTATGATGGCAATGTTTATGAACGTCTTTTTGAGGCTGCTAAAAAGAGTCCTTTGAATAAGGAACCGGTACCAAAGTCATTCCATACACATTTGAAACCTTTTATGAAATCTAAAATGTAAAACAGAGGATTTTAAAACACAATTTTAAAAATGTGATTTGTATATAAAATGTAAAATAAAATTAAACAAAACTCTAAAAGTAGTGGCAAAATATGTTTTTAGAAATCACTAACTCGATAATATCTATTTTTAAAATTCATAGTAAAAAGTTAAAAAAAAGTTTAAGTTCAGTTCTAGTTTAATTCTAAGTCTGATCTAGTTCAATTCCAGTTCAGTTATAGTTTAGCTCTAGTTCAGTTCTAGTTTAGTTGTAGTATAGATGTAGTTCAGTTCTAGTTCAGTTATAGTTCAGTTCTAGTTCAGTTCTAGTTCAGTTCTAGTTCAGTTCTAGTTCAGTTCTAGTTCAGTTCTAGTTCAGTTCTAGTTCAGTTCTAGTTCAGTTCTAGTTCAGTTCTAGTTCAGTTCTAGTTCAGTTCTAGTTCAGTTCTAGTTCAGTTCTAGTTCAGTTCTAGTTCAGTTCTAGTTCAGTTCTAGTTCAGTTCTAGTTCAGTTCTAGTTCAGTTCTAGTTCAGTTCTAGTTCAGTTCTAGTTCAGTTCTAGTTCAGTTCTAGTTCAGTTCTAGTTCAGTTCTAGTTCAGTTCTATTTCAGTTCTATTTCAGTTCTAGTTCAGTTCAGTTCAGTTCTAGTTCAGTTCTAGTTGAGTTCTAGTTCAGTTCTAGTTCAGTTCTAGTTCAGTTCTAGTTCAGTTCTAGTTCAGTTCTAGTTCAGTTCTAGTTCAGTTCTAGTTCAGTTCTAGTTCAGTTCTAGTTCAGTTCTAGTTCAGTTCTAGTTCAGTTCTAGTTCAGTTCTAGTTCAGTTCTAGTTCTGTTCTAGTTCTGTTCTAGTTCTGTTCTAGTTCTGTTCTAGTTCTGTTCTAGTTCAGTTCTAGTTCAGTTCTAGTTCAGTTCTAGTTCAGTTCTAGTTCGGTTCTAGTTCAGTTCTAGTTCAGTTCTAGTTCAGTTCTAGTTCAGTTCTAGTTCAGTTCTAGTTCAGTTCTAGTTCAGTTCTAGTTCAGTTCTAGTTCGTTCTAGTTCTGTTCTAGTTCTGTTCTAGTTCTCTAGTTCTGTTCTAGTTCTGTTCTAGTTCTGTTCTAGTTCTGTTCTAGTTCGTTTAGTTCTGTTAGTTCTTTCTAGTTATGTTTCTAGTTCTGTTTGTTCGTTTAGTTATGTTCTAGTTCTGTTCTAGTTCTGTTCTAGTTCTGTTCTAGTTCTGTTCTAGTTCTGTTCTAGTTCTGTTCTAGTTCTGTTCTAGTTCTGTTCTAGTTCTTTAGTTCTGTTTAGTTCTGTTCTAGTTCTGTTCTAGTTCTGTTCTAGTTCTGTTCTGTTCTAGTTCTGTTCTAGTTCTGTTCTAGTTCTGTTCTAGTTCTGTTCTGTTCTAGTTCTGTTCTAGTTTCTGTTCTAGTTCTGTTCTAGTTATGTTCTAGTTCTGTTCTAGTTCTGTTATAGTTCTGTTCTAGTTCTGTTCTAGTTCTGTTCTAGTTCTGTTCTAGTTCTGTTCTAGTTCTGTTCTAGTTCTGTTCTAGTTCTGTTCTAGTTCTGTTCTAGTTCTGTTCTAGTTCTGTTCTAGTTCTGTTCTAGTTCTGTTATAGTGCTGTTATAGTTCTGTTATAGTTAAGTTCTTTTTACTTATCATCTTACGAAACAACTATGTACTTAGGAGAGACAAACTTATTTACAAAACCATCTTTATTAAATTCGCTTCGATTTTCACTTTTTGTTTTTATTATTTTTAAAACCGGTCTTTTTATTCATGAAAATATCGGTCAAGATTTAAAAAAAAAACTCTCTTTTAAAGAGAAATTTCTTTTTAAAGAGTATCACTAATTCAATGTTATTATTTACAATTAAACAATATTTTGTTATGATAACAAAGTTTTGTGCACAGTCATACGAGTACTGTGGTTGGGATTGAAACAAAATTTGAGAGAAATACAATTGGACTTTGACACACAAAATACAAGCCCCCTCTAATTGAAGTTTAAACTGTAATAAAACATTTTTGTTTGAATCAAATATTGCTAACCATTAACAGACTTCAAGACAAAGCTGAGGGGTTGTCAAAAAGTAAACTATATTTTAAAAATTAAATATTTATTTTAAAATTTATTATAAAGACTCTTAAAAACACAGTGCTTAAAAGTGTGTAGCTAAAATTTTGAGATAAACAAACAAAAATGTCCAAAAAGCACATAAAAGCTTTTTCTTTAGAAGAGCTGTAATTAGTTGACTATTTGAAATCGCGAAGAGAAGAAGTGTTTATTAAAATAAAATTAATAAAAATATTTGTTTTCAAATTTACTTTTACTTAATAATATCATTTGATTAACAAAAAAATTAATTTGTTTTTAAAAAATGACCACAGAAATATCGATTGTTCCCAAAACTATAAATCCCGACATTGCCAAAGAACGTCAGAATGCCACAGTTAATAGTGAAGAAATTGCTCAATGGTTTTATGGCGGTGCTGAAAAATTAAAAACAAAACGTGAACTTGGTAAATATGTAGTACATAATTCAAAAACAAAATGTAAAACAAATATTAATGCATTTAATTAATAATTTTGTAATAAAGTTCAAAATTATGAATAGGTACTAAAATATATATAGAAAATTCGACCTTTGATTCGACTGGTGTGACAAAAAAAAAAACTTATCAGAATTATTTGTTTGATTTCGGCCTTTTTCCGTAATTACCGCAGTTAATAATATACATAATTATTATTTATATATTTTTATTGAAACTTGTTAGATATCGTGTTGCAGTCAGTAAAGTCCCCTTATCAGATACATAGCGTTATTAATTTTTGTGAACATTAATTGTAAAACTACTTATGTACTGAAATTTCTAATCGTCATTGTTAGACTGTTATTTTAAAATGTATATATAGATAGATAGATAGATAGATAGATAGATAGATAGATAGATAGATAGATAGATAGATAGATAGAGATAGATAGATAGATAGATAGATAGATAGATAGATAGATAGATAGATAGATAGATAGATAGATAGATAGATAGATAGATAGATATCTGATAGATAGATAGATAGATAGATAGATAGATAGATAGATAGATAGATAGATAGATAGATAGATAGATAGATAGATAGATAGATAGATAGATAGATAGATAGATAGATAGATAGATAGATAGATAGATAGATAGATAGATAGATAGATAGATAGTAGATAGCTAGATAGATAGATAGATAGATAGATAGATAGATAGATAGATAGAGATAAGATAGATAGATAGATAGATAGATAGATAGATAGATAGATAGATAGATAGATAGATAGATAGATAGATAGATAGATAGATAGATAGATAGATAGATAGATAGATAGATAGATAGATAGATAGATAGATAGATAGATAGATAGATAGATAGATAGATAGATAGATAGATAGATAGATAGATAGATAGATAGATAGATAGATAGATAGATAGATAGATAGATAGATAGATAGATAGATAGATAGATAGATAGATAGATAGATAGATAGATAGATAGATAGATAGATAGATAGATAGATAGATAGATAGATAGATAGCTAGATAGATAGATAGATAGATAGATAGATAGATAGATAGATAGATAGATAGATAGATAGATAGATAGATAGATAGATAGATAGATAGATAGATAGATAGATAGATAGATAGATAGATAGATAGATAGATAGATAGATAGATAGATAGATAGATAGATAGATAGATAGATAGATAGATAGATAGATAGATAGATAGATAGATTATATTATACCAATGATATTCCGGATTTAGATACCGATATAAAGAATTTTTTCGCTCCACTATAAATTTCTCTCCATAACAATTAATTTAAACAATTATCTACTGCAGAACACATTCTCTTCGATGATCTTGAAAAGGGTTATGGTCTCAAACATGAATACCTTGATCATGTGGGTGTTTATAATCGAGCCGTTTGAGCAAGTAACTAGCACAGCTAAAAAATTACGCAAATTACAACAAGAACGTAATCCGGGAGGAGATGAAATATGGCCGTAAGTTTACAAACAAAAGAAAATTATATAATATTGTTAAAACATTTATTTCTATTCGCTTTTGTATTTTAGAAAAATGTTATATGGTCTTCACAGTCATGGTCTATTTCCTGCCAATAGTCCCCTCTCCACTCACATCACAATGTTTGTGGATGTTATAAAAGGTCAAGGTACCCCCGAACAAATTGAGAAATGGGGTAAAGCTGCTGAGAATTGTAATATAATTGGTACCTATGCTCAAACTGAACTGGCGCATGGCACCAATGTCAGAGGTATACAAACACGAGCAGATTATGATCGTAATACGGAAGAGTTTGTTTTGAATACACCTTGCTTGCAGGCCTACAAATGGTGGCCAGGAGGATGTAAGTGTATAATATATTACTATTTTAGAGTAAAAAAAAAAACTAAATAATATTTCCTCAATTTATGTTTTATTTTAGTGGGTCATACTGCTAATCATGCCATGGTTGTGGCACAACTCTACATTGATGGCCAGCATAAAGGTATACAAATGTTTATTGTGCAATTGCGTGATTTGGAGACACATATGCCTTTGCCCGGCATCGATATTGGTGAGATTGGTAAAAAGGTGGGCATGGCTGCTGTTAATCAAGGCTTCCTGGGTCTGAAAAATGTACGCATTCCACGCACGAATATGTTAATGAAAAATGCTAAAGTTATGCCAGATGGTTCATTTCAACAAAGTCCTGCCTCAAAATTGTCCTACATGACTATGGTCTATACGAGATGTTTATAGTAAATTTAGATACTTCTTATCTATTAGAGGCAGCTACTTGCTACACGTTATGCGGGTAAGGAGACAAAGTCCCATTAATCCGGAGTAAGTTAAAGATTGATTTTATAGTGATAAATAGAGACGAATGATTGAAATGTTTGAAATCATTACTTTCTAAAGAAAAAAGTT